CCTGCTCAAGGCCTCAGTATATGACTCTTCCCCTGTCTCTTGGGAACCAGCTGAAGAGCACCCTGACAGTGCCTAGCTGTGAGGGCAGAGCAGAGCTAGAATGAGGACATGGGTTTTTGTTTTACTCAATCATAGAATCATAGAATTTTAGGGATTGGAATGGACCTTAGAGATCATCTAGTCCAAACCTCCTGCCATGGGCAGGGACACCTCCCCACTAGACCAGGTTGCTCAAGGCTTCATCCAGCCTGACTTTAAACACTGTTACCAAATAAACTTTGGTAGAAATGAACCTGGTAGTCCTGGCTCAGGCGCTGAGATAGGGCAGTTACAGAGCTCAGCAGCATGAACTCAGTGGATCCAAAGAGTGGAGGATGGTTTTTTCCATCAGCTCATCAGACAACTGCCTCCCAACATTGTTATCCATTGTGAACGGATTCAGTGTAGGCATTGCAGCTATGCTATTTATTTTGCAGCCTGGCATAGATTAATAGTTCTCTGGCAACCCTGCTCCAAGGCTTTGAAAGCCTTTATGAGGGGCATCAGTAGTCAAGCCATGTTCAGGGATAGCTGTGGTAACACAATGCTTTTGCAAAGCCTCTGAAAAGTCAGGGAGTGTCCCAGACATGCTCACAGATGCCGCCCATGGGGGCAGGGGTGGCCACAGCCTCCTGTGGATTCTGTTTGAAGATCTCATTGAGCTAGGGCACAGGCTGCCTCATGAGCTGGGAAGGGGTAGCATTGCTTCCCACTCTGAATGGAGGAAACCATGAGCAGGAGTTTTTCCTCATTCCATGGGTATTTTCAGTAGTTATGGCAAGGGACCCTCTGCTTTTATGTCATTTAGCAAACTCCTGTGTCATTTGCTGTTTTCTTTAAGCCAATATATCTCTCCTATCAATCTTTATATTCCTTTTCCCTCAAGAGATGATTTTCCATAGGGAATATACGTGTGTAGGAAGGGTTAAAATCTTGAGGCTATCAAGTCCTTTTTGATTTGGCTCTGTTGGTTGAGCTCCAGAAACCTTACCTGTTCCTGCACACGCTGCAGAGTAACTAGAAACAATGGAGCAAGGGAGAAACTGAAAAATCCAGCCCCAGTTCTATGATAGCAGCAGAGATATTTGGGAAACTAAAGTGCTCCTTCTGGACTTCAGGTTGGGTAGACACTATATGTGCTATCATGTTTGAGAACTGTTTGTCTTGTGTTTGTTAACTACTGAGGTTTCTAAATTTTTGGAAGGGCAAGCAATTCTTTTGTGGGTGGCAGACTGGAAAGTTTTGTGCAGGACAAGGCAAGACAAGGATAAAATGATTTTCCAGAGATACTCTGTTCTAATTCAGAGCATGGTTAGTTTAAGAGAGTGTGGTTTTATAGCTGTGGTTAAGGCTGTACGAGGCAATTATAGTGACTTTTTTTGGTTGTTACTTCAGAAGCTTGCTTAGTTCTTAGGCAGATTTCTGCTGTAATCTTTACTGGAAGTTTTATTTAAAGCTTTTACAGACTGTTCACAAAGGAAAAACCAAACGTGGTATCTCCAGACTGGTAAGTAGAGTTACTTCATTAGGGTGAGACAGGTACACAGGCTGAAACAAAGGAGGTTTTAATCTTCTTCTCTATTTTAAGTACCTGAATGCACTATCTCTGAGAAGACAAGAGAATTATTTACATACAGAAATCAGTCTATGCCTGCTCAGTTACTGAAGATAAAACTCAGAGCAATTTGTCTGACATCTATTGTCCTCAGCAATGCAATTGGCAGTTCAGTTAGACTATCAGGCAGCTGACAAGTTCCTTCTCCTTAGCTCTGCCTGCCTCAGTCATCTGACTGGCCTTGGATAATCCATCCTAGCACCTGAGAGAGGCTTGGATGAAACCAAGAATATCAGCCTTGGAGTGCAGAAGTAAACCTTGTTGGTGTGAGGGAGCACTATGAATTGATACTGACTTTTATTCCCGTGGCTGTTCAGTTGTTTGCTCTTTCAGCTCCTCACCCAGCAGACACTGAAGATCCAAACAAGAATATATCAACTACAAAGCACAGCAGTGACCAAGATTGCTATTTTCTGTTCCTCGGTGTGAATGAAATGCAATGGGAATGAGATGCCTCATCTGCATCACTGCTTCTAGCAATCCTGCTGGATAAATCTCTAGCAAATAGCTATGTACTTTAAGGATAGAAAAATCTTCTCTCTGATTTTACATTGACTCCTAATAATCAGGATTGAAAGTGGCATGTTTGCAGGAAAAGATAGGACACTATTTGGAAAGAGTTTAAAGTATGAAAGTTCAGCTGCTTGTTGTGCAAAACATAACATCACTACCTTAAAGTAATTATTTGGTTTGAGTTGCTTAAAATAGAGAAAACCAAAAAGGCATAAGAACTAGAGATGGAATGACCCATTAAAGAGGGCAAAAAAATCTGGCGCAGTGTGGATTATGTTTTCAGAATGTTTTTCAACACAATGTTGAAACCGCTTTTTGTTTTTTTCCATAGCGTCTTGGGATAACTTTCTAAGGATTCCTCAGAGAACCAATATGAGGGCAACACTGATAATGCATTTTGTCTTATAGTGCAGATAGCCACCAAAGAGCAGTTTTTTATGAGGTGCTGGGCAGAACATAGATTTAGTCTCACCTGATGACAGTAGTTACAACACAGAAGTAAGACTAATAAAGGGTGGTATGGAGTGGCTTTTTTTTGGTGGAGGGGAGGGTTTGTGCTTGTTTAAAATGCATTTTATATGTGTTCTGGCAGATTATGGAATAGATTGTCCAAGAAAATATGATGGTTTGTATATGTATGACTATATATTATTAGAATATGAATATATATTTTTAGAAATCCAGGAGTGACTTCATAGGCTGTGAAACCAGCAAGACCTTTTGCTACTGTGCATGGTTTTGTACATAGGCAGGTGCCATGATCACAGTCAGTCTTGTTAGAAAAGGATGTGCCACTCCCCTCCGTGGTAAGGGCACAGGAAAGTCATGTAGGTCCCTAATAAATTTCCTAATGCAGCACTGAGAAGACTTGAAGTTGTCTTGAGAAACATCCTTGTTATTGGCACAAAACTGAGTGGTGGCTGTCGCTGGTAGAGAAAAGCAGGATGAATGCAAGAATTTTGAACAAATAAACCCTATTTTTGTACTGAAAAGGTGCTATGGAGAGAAACAATTTGTCTCAGGTTTTGTGGATCTGTGGTGCGTGGTTATGTCCCACCATGCAGTGGATCATGGTCTTGCTTTGCGTTCAACCACACTGCTGCAAGATTAGAATCATAGAATCATCAGAGTTGGAGGAGACCTCTAAGATCATTAAATCCAACCATTAACCTGTCACTGCTGGAACCCCTAAACCATATTCTCCAGCATCAGATCCAGACACCTCTTAAACATTTCCAGGGATGGTGACTCCACCACCTCCCTGGGCAATCTTCCAGTGCCTGAACACCCTAACAAGTAAAACATTTCTCCTAACATCCAGTCTGACTCTGCCCTGTCTCAGCTCAAGGCTTCAGCCTCTAGTCCTCTCCCTGCAGCCATGGCTGGAGAGACATCCCCCACCTCTTTCCAAGCCCTGTCAGTGTTTTAGAGAGCCAAGAGATCACCCCTGAGCCTCTTCTCAAAGCTAAACTCCTACAGCCCTTCCTCATGTGCTCTAGCCCTTTTCTGCCCTTGTTGCCCTTGGCTGGACTTGCTCCAGTGCCTCAATGGCCTTTTTGCAGTGAGGAACCCAAAACCGAACACAGTACTGAGGTGTGACCTCCCCAGTGCCAAGTCCAGGAGGATGATCAACCTTCTCTTCTCCTGTGTGATCACCAAGTAATTCTCATGTGTGCGTTGAATTTGCCCTCACACTCTTCTCTCATGTGACCTTATTTAGTCAGTCTCATGTGTCAGTGCTTGGATTAAGTTAGAGGTTTTGTGTGTAACAACAAGGCAAATTTTGTAGGGAGACATACCATATTATATTAGAGCAGCTGATTTAGTTGAAAACCTTTGGGACTCTCAAATCCACTATATCCTAGAAGGTATGTGTGTATAAATAAATACAGGAAGACAGACCTGCTCCTCCTTGGTTGGGATTGCTCTGTTGTGTTGACCCTGCAGGAGGTAGGACAGATAGTAAAATAAAACAGCGAAGACATGGGTGTGGGGAAAGGATAGAGCAGTGGAGCAGAACCATTCAGTCTCACCAACAGCTAATGCCTGCCAAAGTGATATTCAAGGAATCAGAACTCTGTGCCTGCTTTGTGCAATAAAATCATTGGCTTGTCCCAGTTTCATTGAGGGAAGTCATGGATACAGATTTTTTGCAGCTAGTGGTATGCATCATTTACAGAAACTTTGTATCATAAATGTTGTTAACAGATCCCTGTGCCCAAGGTGCGAAGATGCTAAAGACGTGGTGTATTTTCCTGCTGTGTTGGCTGTCCTGGCAGCTCGAAGCTAATCCTGGTCTTAAAGTGAGGATTACTCAGAAAGGACTGGACTATGGTATGTCTAATTGTGCCAGAAGGTAATTTATCATGAATACTCAAGTTAAAAAATACAGTCTCTTAACAAAGGTGCAATGTAGGAACAAACTCCTTAAATATATAAGTAGAATAAGTTCCTTTAGTCACCTCACACCAGGAACACCCTTTGTCTATTCTCTCACTTATTTGTGCATCCCAGGTGTGAATTTATGTCACTGCATTCTTCTGCAGTGTTTCTACACATGCTTCATATCTCTATACTTTCTTAGACCCAGCATTAGATGGCCATATAATTCCTCTTTTCCTTAAAAAGTATACAAAACTTGACTGAAAGTGCAATATTTAATTGAAGATAATAAGACATAATTAAGGGGGGAAAAAAAACCTTAAAATTTTGAAACAGCCACATAGCTGTGCACCTTTATTCAGTATGGAATAGAGTAGAAAATACTGTGCTTTAGTAAGAGTAAAAGAATAGAGTAAAAAAATAGTGCTTTAAAAAAAATCTAGTGACTGCCATAATTCTGCACCTTAACAGAATATAAGAATTGCCACAATTTATTTTCCTTACTCTTTCTATTCATGCTAACTTTCACTGTCTCTTACCTCTATGAGTTTGGAGGGTATGTAGTATAATTTCAATAGTTTCCAGAAGTAATAATAATAATAAAGGTTAACAAGTCACAGATTCAACAAAGGCTGGGTCATGGTAAGGATTAATCATCATCTATGTACTGAACATGCTGACAGGTAAACAATGGGGTTGTGAGGTGAAAAATAGAAGCTCAGGGTTTATACTTTCGAGATGAAAGGGAGGATCAGGTCCACTTATTTCACTGTGTGAGCATTGATTTAGAGGCTTTTGAGGAATTGAAAAGTGCAGGGCAAACATCAGTTACCCAAACCAGTACTGAACTCTCTTGCTTCCTAGGGATCTCTCGTGCCTTTAGAAATGAGAATTCAACCTGGTGTTTCTTAGTGTGACACAGGAGTTCTTGTGAGAGTCATAGAATCACAGAATCATAAAATTTTAGGGGTTGAAATGGACCTTAGAGATCATCCAGCCCCAACCCCATGACCTGGGCAGGGACATCTCCCACCATAACAGGTTGCTCAAGGCTTCATCCAACCTGACTTTGAACACTGCCAGGGTTGGGGCAGCCACAGCCTCCCTGGGCAACCTGTGCCAGTGTCTCACCACCCTCACAGGGAAAAACATCTGCCTAATATCTAACCTAAATTTCCTCTCCTTCAATTGGTACTCATTGCCCCTCGTCCTGTCACTGCAGCTCTTAACCAGGAGTCCCTCTCTTCCCTGGAGCCCCTTTAGATACTGGAAGGTGCTCTGAGGTCTCCACACAACCTTCTCTTCTCCAGGCTGAACAGACCCAACTCTCTCAGCCTGTCTTCATAGGGGAGATGCTCCAGTCCTCTTAGCAACTTCGTGGCCTCCTCTGGACCTGCTCCAACAGTTCCATGTCCTTCTTACACTGAGGGCACCAGTACTGTGTGCAGTATTCCAGGTGGGTCTCATGAGAGCAGAATGAAGGAGGAGAATCCCCTCCCCTGACCTGCTGCCCACACTCCTTTGGATGCAGCCCAGGATTTGGTCAGTTTCTGGGCTGAACTCACACTGCAGCTCATGGGGAATTTCTCATTCACCATCTCCCCCAGCAGAATGAAGGAGTAGAAGCCCCTCCCCTGACCTGCTGCCCACACTCCTTTGGATGCAGCCCAGGATTTGGTCAGTTTCTGGGCTGAACTCACACTGCAGCTCATGGGGAATTTCTCATTCACCATCTCCCCCAAGTCTTTCTCCTCATTGCTGCTCTCAATTACTTCCCCAAACATGTCAGCATGGCCTTCCAAGTGCTGGAAGAATAGACTAAGTTGGCACAACCTGGTAAGAATAGACACTAACAGTGCTCCTGATGCCAAGAAAAGGCTGGAAAAGAACTACTCACAGACTTGTATCTCTGAGTAGCAGGTATTGTTTATTCAGCACTGGGCACAAGGGGGATCGGTCCACCAAACTTGTGCAACCAGGGACAAAAACTTCACAGTTTTTATACATTAAATGTTCATACATATTCATTCTTTCCAGGAATGGGTGGTTATTATTATAATTAGTTCTTGGAAGTCATTATCATATACTCCTCCTCCATCTCCTCCCTCCTGGCATCAGTCCCATGGTCCTGGTGGTCGTTTGGTGGTCGTGAAGATGAAGCGTCTCCTCTTCCTCAGTACCCTTTGGACACCCTTGTTATGCAACCATTTACCCCTTTGTACAGTTTTGCATGCCTTGCTGACCTTGCCTCTATCTTGAACATTTTGTTTCTTTATTCCACACCCCACATGGTCTTAGTTTTCCTTCCACTGCCAAGGTTTGAGTCTAGTTAGTTCTGCTGCCTTATAGATAAGGTGCATCGTTTCACCAACGAAGCCAAAACAGCTTTTTATCTGTACTATGCAATCCTTGCTGTCTTGCAAATTAAGCTGAAATAGTGCTATTAGTAAAGTTCTCCTTTATGCTTTCAGCTTTAACTGTTCAATTCCTGCTTTCAGCCTGCTTCTCACTATCACTCCTCCCAGAGGCATTTCTCGTGTTTGAAGAGCTTGGCCTGCTTTCAGCCTGCTTCTCAGTATCACTCCTCCCAGAGGCATTTCTCATGTTTGAAGAGCTTGCTGCCTGGCATCTCTTTTCCCTTAATGTGGACTTTGAAAGCTAAGGCAGTAGATCCTGCTTGTGTGCTTCTTTGCTACAAGAACCTGGAGAGGAATTCCACCTAGAATCACTGGCTGCCTTTACTGACAACCATAAGAGAGCTTTAAGCTATTTCAGTCAGAGCCCGTATTTTGCTTTGGAGACAGGAATTCTCAGGGAATCAGAACTTACTACTCCTTCTTAATAGGTGCATTTTATAAGAAGTTATTCCAGTGTTAGCATGAATTTCAATTCTTTGTTTTTTTAATACTGTAGAGCCTGAAGGAGAAAAAAATACACATATTTTTTATTCAGCAATTATGAGGCCAAAAGTAAAAGAAACTCATGGTAAAAGCACCTGAAAGCAGGACATCATTCAGGACTAAATCTTTAGTTGTGTCTTAATCAAATATGAGCAAAAATAAGAAAGACACGATGAATTTGGAATTTAAAGGTGCTCTGCTGCTAATGGCGTCTGTGTGTAGTATCAATGTAGAAGTAACATTGCACCATTGTAGGGATTCTTTAAAGCAAGGACAGAAGTTAAGGAACTGAATCAGAGATGTGCAGCAGGCTGTAATGGTTCCGGTGGAGCAGCAAAACTTATGTACTGTGCAAGTAACAGGAAGAAAACACTTACAAGGACTGTCTGTATACCTCAAGCAACTTCCTGTACGCAAGCAACAATCCAGGTAGTTCTGCAGTTGACATACCAGCACTTCACAGGCATTTATCACACTTTTTCCATAAGTAACCACTACAGATAGAAGTCACCTGGCTACGTCATACTGGCCTTTTCATCCAACAGGCATGAGACAATCTGAAGTAAAGGTGATGACCAAGTGTTTCCCAAGGCTATCCACATTGAGTGAGTGAAGTGAAGGAAGTATAACAGCTTCAGAAACCTGACATAAATTCCAGAATATACAATTCAACTCAGGGAAGATGATCCTAGCAGATTATCTTGACCTTGTGTCATGGTTTAACCCCAGCCAGCAACCAAACACCACGCAGTTGCTTGCTCAATCCCCCACCAACAGGATGGGAGAGAGAATCGGAAGTGTAAAAGCTGGAAAAACTCATGAGTTGAGATAAAAGCAGTTTAATAGAGAAAACAAAAGTTGCACGCACAAGCAAAGTAAAACAAGGAATTAATTCACTGCTTCCCATGGGCAGGAGGTGTTCAGCACCTCCAGGAGAGCAGGGTCCATCACACGCAATGGTTCCTTGGGAAGACAAACACCATCACTCCAAACATCCTCCCCTTCCTCCTTCTTCCTCCCACCTTATATACTGAGCATGATGTCCTATGGTATGGAATATCCCTTTGGTCAGTTTGGGTCACCTGTCCCAGCTGTGTGTCCTCCCAAGCCCCTGTGCACCCCCAACTTCCTTGCCAGTGTGGCAGTATGGAAAGCAACAAAGGCCTTGGCTCTGTGTGAGCTCTGCTCAGCAACATCAAAAACATCTCTCTATTATCAACCCTGTGTCCTGCACAAATCCTAAACACAGCCCCATACTAGCCACTGTGAAGAAAGTTAACTCCATGTCAGCCCAAACCAGCACACCTTGGGTTAAATGGCTTGTATGTGAGGCTAAGAGAAGTTATAAACATGTAGTTGGAAGGAGATCTATATAAGGATCAACAAATTGAGGTATTTCAAGAACTATGTTCAAAGTGATGATTAAATTATTTGGCAGCATATCTGGACCTCTGAGTGCCAAATCTAATCTGCAAGGCATGTGCTTTCCTATGCTCCGTTGCAGGCAGGAGGATTGGGATGGAGCTCCTGAAGCAAGCAGTATTGAAAGAGACCTTCCCAAGCTGGAGTGGGCAGGAGAGTTTGTCAGCTATAAAAGTCAACTATGTCATTTCAAGGTAAGTACAGGGAATACATTTGAAAGTTTTAGGATGAAACAGCTTATTATTACCACACAGTAATAATTACACAGCCACAGTTTGTTCAGTGTCAAATTTTAATGGTTCATCTAACTCTGCTTCCACTGCCCAAGCACTGGTTGGTTTTAAGAGTACTTGTTCTGCCACACTCAGAGATGAACTTTATAAAGCTGTGGAAGGAGCACCTTGGCTGTTTTTTCCCATTGGTTTGTATCAGAGTTTGGGGCAAGACAGGTGTAAGCCTGATACAGCAAGGGAAATGGGTGGGAAAGACGGCAGAACTGGTGTTATTAACCATCTGATGTTGTGAAGGACCTGTAGCAGTGAAAATGGTTTGTGTTTGATGAGAAAAATCTGACAAAGGGTAAGACAAAAATGTGTGCAGGGGATGGAGTATGTGGGTTGATGTGGCAAGAAGATGACTTAACAGAACTGGTTTAGTTGAATTTACAATGGTAAATCACCATTTTGATTGGACAGGGCTCAACACCTATTTGCTGCAGAGGAAAATCCTTGTACCAGGAGCATCAAGTAGAAAACCAGTTTCACAGTTTCCTACAAGTTTTCCAAATACAGAGACTAATACAAAAGCAGGTTTTTCTACAGCCTTCAATCCCACCTTCCAATAGGCTCTAAACAAACAAACAGACCTCAGGAGCTCTTGGTCTTTTAATATTACTATCAAGCCAAACTCTGCTGTTCAGTAGGATTTTACATCCTCAAATTACCCAGAGTGATGAACACCAATCTGAGAGACTTCAAGGACTTTCTGCTGGACAGGGCCTGCATCCTTTTCCTAATACCCTCCCTTCTGTCTGTTATTCTTCCATCCTTGCTACCTTAATCCCTGCACATCTGAGGGAGCTGTGTTTGGACAGAAGGAGAAGAAGAGACTATGGGGGTAGAGGTGAATGTGTTTTCCTGCATGGCTTCCACTGTCTGCTGGGTGTTGATTATAGAGAATATGGAGCCAGATTCTTCCAGAGGGTACACAGTGAAAAGATGATGGAAAACAGGCATAAATTACATCAAGAAAAGTACCAATGTTGGGGGAAAAATCCTAGGGAGCATAAGAACGAGGGCTGAAAAGGTTGGGGAATATGCATCCTTGGATGTGTTGAGACTTAAGTGGGCAGGACCCCTGAGTTCTCCCAGCTTTCAGTAGGAGGTTGAACAAGAAAAAATCTCCTGAGGTCCTATTTCAACCTCAATTATTATATGATCTTCGAAAGCTCAATTCATTCCCCCAACCACAGTTCTGGAAATTGGCCATCTTCCCAGTGGATAACCTGATTTTAGCTCACTCCTAACAAGATTACTAAAGGCAGTGTTACTGCTGCCCAAGATGTTACTGGAAAGTTATGGTCATTTTAACCAAAAGTAGCTGGTGCCTTCTGCCCCTGGGAAAGCAGATTAAAGGCAATTGTTTCAGAGATGTCTGCCAGATAGCAGGAAACAATGAGGAGATAAGATTACAGCTGATATCTTTACAACATTCAGCTCAATTCAACACACCCATGTGCAAGGCAATATGGTTGAGGATCAGAAACACTTGTTTTGGCAGGGAAATATTCGAGGAAGATTTTATTTAGAAAAAATGCATCCTTTCCAGAGCCCTTTGCTTCGGCAAGAAATCAGAATGGGGAAAGGGAAACTTTGCTCTTCAACAAATGCTACTATTCAGACAACCTGGATTTATTTATAGATATAGCATCTGGTTTAAACACAGGTTTATTTTTCTCCAGCAAGGACATTTCACTTTGAGGAGTTTGTTTTTCTCCCAAGGAGAGGGTTTTCTTTTTTTAAAAAAAGAATGCCTGTCCAGATATCAAGGATTCTTTTTCCAAGGATGCAACTAGTTGTAATGGTACAAGTGTCTTTCTTTCCTAGAATACAGAAGGGCTGATCATTTCTGAGGAATTCTTTTACTTAAGCACAGACTTTGCTTTTATAGCAGAAAGGTTTTCAGTGATCATAAATTCTTCTTCTTTTTTAGAGTGCAATCTAATAATCCCTGTCTGTATTTATTCTGTAGGCTCAGAATTAATGCTGTAGATTTCCCAGAAACTTCTGCTTCCTTTATTCCTGGCACTGGAATTTGTCTGTCAGTGTCACAAGCTTCTGCTACAATCAGTGCAGACTGGAGAATAAGTGCATGGCTGTTGTAAGTATGGCACAGAGATGCAGGTGGCAGTGGGGCAGTTCTGGGAGAAGGATTGCAAATGAAAGTAACAAATGTACTAGGCAGCTATTATTTTTCAGATCAGATATGCTTTATCATTTAGAATCATAGAATCATCAAGGTTGTAGGAAACCTCTAAGATCATTGAGTCCAGCCATTAACCTGTCACTGCTGTAACCCCTAAAGCCTAAACTATAGCCTGCAGTGTCAGATCCAGATGCCTCTGAAACACTTCCAGGGATGATGACTCCACCACCTCCCTGGGCACTGTTCCAGTGCCTGAACACCCTAACAGGGAAAACATTTTTGTCTCCAAGGTGGCTTATAGAATCATAGAATTTTAGGGGTTGGAATGGACCTTAGAGATCATCCAGTCCCAACCCCATGCCCTAGGCAGGGACCTCTCCCACCAGAACAGATTGCCTAAGGCTTGATCCAGTCTGGCTTTGAACACTGCCAGGGTTGGGGCAGCCACAGCCTCCCTGGACAACCTGTGCCAGTGTCTCTCACCACCCTCACAGGAAAAACTTCTTCCTAATATCCAACCAAAATTTCCCCTCCTTTGTACCCACTGCCCCTTGTCCTGTCACTGCAGCTCCTAACACAGAGTCCCTCCAGAATTAGCATCACTATGGTATCACCTTGCTTCACAAGTCTGTGCAGTATGACATTGTCTTTAATGATGTGATTGCATACTGCATTTTTTACTTTTTTTTTTAATCTCAGCCTTTTTTGCTGAGTACAAATTGTGTTTGGGTACAATTTGTGTCATGGGTACCGTGTCATGACCATAATCTACTTTAATCTCTAGAAAACTCATTCCTCATTCGAGATGATAGAGTCAAGAAGTCCTTTCAAACTTGATTTACAGGTAGTTTCTTCAATCATTGCCCTACAGCAGATGTTTTCTTGACTGACTTTGGCTTTTTTTTTGTCTGAGCAGCAAAGACCAAGGAGAAATTACTGTGTCCATCTCAGGATTGTTTATTGCAGTTAGCTTCAAAGTGTCACGGGATAGAACAGGCCACTTGTCCACATTGCTACACAAATGCCAGCTGAGCATTGATAGAGTCAGAGTCAAGGTACATGGAGGATCTAGGTATGTACAGCAAATTTCCTACTTACTCTGTGGGAAGTGACAGGATTTCTGGCATAAGGACGGTCCAAATGCTGATTTCTAGGGATGCAGTTACAGACTATGATGAACTATTGAAGGCTCTAGAAACAGAGTTTTAAAGATCGGTTTTCAAACCCAGGCTCCTTTGTTGAGTGTGTGGAGTGAGGTTAATCTACCTTTCTTTCTGCACGTGCCAGCAAGTGAGCTGACTAGACAGACTGCATATGAAAGCATTGACATTTGGCCGTATTAAAGAGTACAGGATTGCAAGTGAAGGGTTGCAGATATAGAATCATAGAATTTAAGGGTTGGAATGGACCTTGCAGATCATCTAGTCCCAACCCCTGCCATGGGCAGGCACATCTCCTCACTAGATCAGGTTGCTCAAGGCTTCAAAGCCACCATGTCTGGTGGTGGTGGTCCACCCTGTGTGGACCACCATATAAAGGTGGTCTAGACTGATTAAGCCTTGAGACAAGCTGACCTACCATTTAAGAATTAAGCATTCAAAAGAGACTATGAAACAATGCTTGTAGTTCTTACTTTGATTTTCTATAGGGTTTTTTTTTCTCACTCAGAGATAAAATGTGGCTAATTGTGCTTCATTTACCAACACATTAACATGAACATTCACAGCCTTGCAAATTGCCTCCTGTAGAGCTCCTCTGAGACTAAGAACCCCTAGCATTTGCCTGAGACTCTCAAACTAACAAGAACTATTCAACAGTTCAGTCTACCATATTGCTGCAATTGCTCCTCATCAATAGAAATGACACTGATGTCCCAGTCTGTCAGATTTTATATTTCAGGTATTTCAATCAATGGTAAAAAATTTACTGTGTCCGTTTCCTTTCCTTCAGTTGGATCTCCAGCCTTCTAGCTGGTTATCTTGAGAAGCCCATTCACACCAGATTGGATGAAAATGTAAGTTTGAAGAGATGGTTTTGGTTAGTGAAGGGAGGAGTTAAAGTCCTTACATCACTCACTTGTCTCTCTTTTCATAGCTGTGCCTTGACATCAAGTACAAAATCCAAATTATGGATGCAGAGCTCAGAAAGCATGAGGGTGAGTTGTTGATAATGGCTTTTTCTTAAGTAATTTTCATAATGCTCAATTTGTAGCCTTTGTTATTAGATGCCAAACTATTGCTGTGTTTATGGTGCAAAAATAAAGAGTGAAGGAAGAAAAATACAGCCATTGTTCTGTACCTTAACCTATTCTATACTCCACCCTAGAAATTTCTTGCATGTACCTTATACATAATATTCAGATTCCTTCTGTGCCCACAGCAAGTCACCTGTAATCTTTCAGTCTGTTTTATCCTATCTACGTCATTTCCTTAGGTTCTCCAGATGAGCATTTTCATAGAATCATAGAATCATCAAGGCTGGAAGAGATCTCTAAGATCATCGAGTCCAACCATTAACCTGTCACTACTGTAACCACTAAACCATATCCTCCAGCATCAGATCCAGATGTCTCTTAAACATGTCCAGGCATGGTGACTGCACCACCTCCCTGGACAACCTATTCCAGTGCCTCAACACCCTAGCAGTGAAGAATATTTCCTAGCATCTAATCTGACACTCCCCTGTCCCATTTCCATGCTGATTCTCTATTCTCTCGGTACTGTGGAAATAAGACTTGTGTTCAGTGAGATAAGAAGATGCTGCAGGAAGACAATGTCACACTTAGCATGTTTCTTTTCCCACCAGTAACAATTCCTGTGTCACTCTTGCAGAGATCTGAATGCAATAGATATCTGTGTCCAAACAGCATATAAGATTTTTCACTACTATAACCAATGCCACGGCTTTTTTTTTTTCATTGTTGTTGGTAGATATTTCTTTCACCCCCAGGACTAAGAATATTTGTTCTTTTTCTCAATTCAAATTAATTCAATTCCCCTAAGTCATAATTATTCAGGTCATGGAGTTTGATCCCACTTCACTTTGCTTTGTGGATATTTCTATTATCTATTCTGCTATTCAGAAGCAGAGTAAGTTGACATTTATTTGTCCTAAAATCATAGAATCAAGCAGGTTGGAAAAGACCTCAGAGATCATCAAGTCCAACCCTACCATCATTACTAGACCATGGCACTAAGTGCCACATCCAGTCTCATCTTGAAAACCTCCAGGGACGGTGAATCCACCACCTCCCCGGGTAGCCCATTCCAATGCCTGATCACTCTCTCTGTAAAAAATCTCTTCCTAATATCTTACCTAAATCTCCTCTGGCAGAGCTTGAGTCTGTGCTCTCCTGTCCTACTGCTGGTTGCCTGTGAGAAGAGACCAAGCCCCACCTGACTACAACCTCCTTTCAGGCAACTGTACAGGGCAATATGGTAACCCTTGAGTCTCCTCTTCTCCAAGGCTCCCTCAGCCTCTCCTCATAGCACTTGTGCTCGAGTCCCTTCACCAGCCTCGTTGCTCTTCTCTGGACCTGCTCCAGCACTTCAATATCCCTCCTGAACTGAGGAGCTCAGAACTGAGCACAGTACTCAAGGTGTGGCCTCACCAGCACCGATTCCAGGGGAAGAATCACTTCCCTGGTCGTGCTGTAGATGACCGATACCTGCCACGTGCCAGGCAGTGGCAAATATTATGGAAGACCATGATCATCAAGAACATTTTCTTATGCAGCGCATAATTAAACACTTCAAGTTCACGGGTTCAAGGGCACTCCAAGCTGTGCTGTCGTATTGAGGAGTTCATGGGCTCTGTGTGAACTCACCATTTCTCTTTAAACCCCTCTGATTTTATACAGTATGAACAGACCACACAGTCCAATAAAAAAGTCTTCAGTCCTATTGTGGATAAAGTGCTCTCTGTTGTTGTTGTGGACAAATGATTCTTGTCTTCAACACCGAGAGGTATCAAAATTTGCTAGTGGCATCTTCCAAGGGATTTAATAGTATTTGCCAGTATTTCACTACTCGTATATGAGGGTTTAGATCTCTTGTGCAAAAGATGCATAACAAAAAACCCTGTCCTAGGTACTCTTTTCACTGCGTGGGCGAATGTATTCAATTGTGAACAACAAGGCCTAAACCAGGAGGCCTCAGTGACTTTTCCAAGGGGAATCATAGAATCATAGAATTTAGGGGTTGGAATGGTCCTTACAGATCATCTAGTCCCAAACCCCCCTGCCATGGGCAGGAACACCTCCTCACTAGATCAGGTTGCTCAAGGCTTCATCCAGGCTGGTCTTGCACACCGTCAGGGTCAGAGCAGCCACCACATCCCTGGGCAACCTGTTCCAATGTCTCACCACCCTCACAGGATAAAACTTTTTTCTAATATCCAACATAAACTTTCCCTCCTTCAGTTTGAACCCATTACCCCTTGTCCTATCATTGCAGTTCCTAACACAGAGTCCCTCTCCAGCTCCCTTGTAGGCCCTGCAGATACTGAAAAGTTGCTAGGAGGTCTCCACGCAGTATTGTCTCCTCTCTAGGTTCAAATGCTCGCACTATTTCCCCTATAACAATTTCCTTTTGCATTTTCTTCTTCCTTCTCCCACCATTCTTCTTCTTCAGATTCACTATTTCTATACTGCCTTTGCCTTCAGCTAAGCAATAACTGTTGGTGGTGTGTTTGTGTAATAACAACTGTTTTGTTTTTGTCCATCATTCCTCTAGTCTTAAGCCAGATTGACGCCTTTGCACAAGTAGACTATTCCCTAGTTAGTTCTCCATCAGTCTTCAAATCACACATTAACTTGGATTTGAAGGTAATTTGTCTTTAATATCAGTGTGCTTTCTAAGACTTTCCTGATTCTCTTTTGAACTGATTCCTTTTCTTTCACTACAGCTTACTCAGCCTCTCCAGTATTTACTTAGAAAAGCATTTGGGAATTTTGGTCAAGAGTTGTTTTACAAACCAGATATGATTGTTTATTTAATAAATGAACTGCAAATGTTAATTAGAACCATAGAACCATCAAGGTTGGAGGAGATCTCTAAGATCATTGAGTCCAACCATTAACCTGTCACTGCTGTAACCCCTAAAGCCTAAACCATGTCCTGCAGTGTCAGATCCAGATGCCTCTTCAACACCTCGAGGGATGATGACTCCACCACCTCCCTGGGCAATATTCCAGTGCCTGAAAACCCTAACAATGAAAAAGCTTTTCCTAACATCTAATCTGAATCTCAGATTAACCAAAGCTATTATTTTGCATTAAATTATTACAGAGTTGAAGCCCTTCAGAGGTGCTTTATAAAGAGCATAAAAGTGTACATCCACAGCTCTTGCACTGTTGCTTGTTCTTCCCGTTAGCAGTGATACATAACCTATGGTGGCTACCAACACGATTGCAATCCAAAGCATTTGATTTGAGGTGACTCAGCATCTTATCTAAGTACAGGTAACACTCAAAAAGAAGATTCCTCACAGTCTTTGAGCAGCACATAGCAGTTCCTTCCTTATCTATTTTTCACCTTTTTTGGCAGGAGATATCTCAGTAACACCTAACTTTTCCAGCAGTTTCAACAGTCCTTGTAATTTAGAGGCTCTCAGAACTGACTTTGGTTAAGAAAGGTGTGTCAGAGCTATGGTTGAAACTCTCCCTCGTGGTTATTTTGTTCAAGCAACTTTTACCACCCACCAAAAAAAAAAACCAAAACCACCACTTTGCAAGCAGGATATACATAGCTTAAAAGAACTAAGCAATTATTTATCAGCTACTGTAGTTAACTAAAACTTGCAGGCTAAGCTTTAACATGATGACACTGGATGAGGCTTTGTAAGTCAGTCATTAAGGAAGTCACTAGTGTTCGGTGCTCCTTGGAACAGGCTGATTTCCTGATGGTTATATGTTGCTGTCTTCCAGCTCTCAGCTTTTTTCCTTATGGTTTTATACCTTTCTGTGTAACTGTTTCTCCTGATGAATCTTCCAGCTACTTGTCTTTATAGTGTCAGCAATGCCTCTACTGTCTGTCTTACTTTTCTTGCTTTACATGGCCTGAGCACACAAACCTTCTCACATTTCTCCTGTTTTAACAGTTATCTTTTTAGCATACCTCAACCAAGGTCCTCTACCTGTGCAGCACCCAAACTAGGTTTTGGGGGACTGGCACCTGGATCAGGGCTGAGAGTTAGATGATTTAAAAGGCTCCTTTGTGTTGCTGTCCTAAGCAAATTCCAGTGCTTTTGGGGTGTACCTGAAGATTTTCTTGAAATTCTACCCTTGGAATTAAATTGACAAATGTGTCTTTGCCACAAGAGAAAGAAAACTGTGGTCCAGAGAATTATTTTGTGTCTGTGTGTCTTGTAGCTGCTGTCCAGAATACTCGCTTGAATGCTCAAATTCAAACTTTGAAGTATGGTGACCACATTCTCTTTGATTCTTGTACTTCCATTTTTCCAGAAAAGCCTGGATTTGCTGATTTTTTTAGGGCATAGCACAAATTTATTTGCTTAGTTCAAGGTTTCTTTAATGTCAAGCTTTAGGAAGAACTCTTTCTGTTCAACCACTGCCAATGCATTCTGACAAATGTTTCAACCAGAAATATTCAATGGTGACTTTTTGCAGGGCACAGTCTATCCAGTAGGAAATCACACAGACCCTCCTTTTGTGCCAGCTCCATTTGCTCTCCCAAACCAGAGTGATTCTATGATATACTTGGGAGTCTCCAATTATTTCCTCAAGACTGCTTCACTGGCTTACTACAGAGCAGGGGCCTTTAACATCACCATCTGCAAAGAGGTGAGTGTAATGTGCCTGGATAATCAGCAACAGAGGCTAACCCCTTATGTCTACCATTTCACACCATTTTGGGTCACACTTCTACCACTTGTATGAGAGATTCATGACATTCATTCTGTATATCCTGATTTAAAAGAGTCAAAGTCCTCTTCAGACCTGTGTATGAACCTCTTGGCAGCTCTAGGCAAGGAATGACAGATATGAACATCACAGTTCTGGAGTGCCAGAAGTGGCAGGAAGAATCAAAAAAAACCCTTTTCACTGCATGGATTCCACATAGGAAAGGGCAAGACAGGAAAAGGTGCCCTGAAGGCACAGTCTGCTGCATAGAGGTCCACATGTATTGTCTGTTGAGAGCTGGAATAAATCCTTAGACGTAATGGAGCAGCAGAATGAGGCAAGAAGTAGGTACAAGGAAACTGAGCTTTCAGCTGTGGTTGAAGAACATACAAGACCTCTCAGAAATGCCAGTTTCCACACTGGCATTGGTGGTCAGAGTTTCCAGTAAGTTTTGCTAACTGAAGACCCTTTGGTCTTTAGAAAAACTGGTGACATGCAATGGTGCTGACAAACATCATCACAGTGGTTAGCAGCAAAAGGACGCAAGAGATTTTTGAGTCCTTTCCTCTGACATATTCAGTATATTTCATCTGAGAGAGTCTCAAAGGCAGCAAGTCATGTCTGTTCTCTCAAAGAGTAATGCTTGTTCCCTGGTACATCAAGTCCATGAGAAATCTGTCTCTCTTCTGTCCCACAGAGCACTGTGGGTCCCTTAGGAATCATTCTGGGGCAAGGAAGTACTAAATGAAAACATGGATTATCTAAAACTAAAGAAAACAGGACATGTTGTTGGGTTGGTGTGTCCCCCCCAAAGGAAAACTTAATTTTCAAGCTCATATAATGATCTAATCTGTTTTATTTCTTTACAGCTTGCTACTGCTTTTAACCTAAATACCTCCTTACTCAAGTATTTTGTTTCTGAGGTGAGTAGTTTTATTTCTACAGACCTTTTAAGAAAAAGCAGTATCTAATGCTTTTCATGGTTATATTCTGTGTGCTAGTTCATTTGCAGATGTTTGGAGGAACCAAGGAAAGTGGTTTATGATTAGTACAAGATTCAAGCACACATGTCTACACCATCATAACTCTTCCTTACTATATCATGCTACACTTCAGTCATTCTTTACTCCTCTAAGTGCTGGTTTTGCTCTCACTCTCTGAAACAGTTATAAAGACTGAGTGGTAGCCATCTAAGGACCTGAGGGTCCGGGTCCATGGCAAGTTGAATATGAGTCCCAGAGTGCCCTGGCAGCCAGGAGGGACATTGTGCCCTGGGGTGCATCAGGTGAGGCATTGCCAGTCCAGGGAGGGGATTGTCCTGCTCTGCTCTGAGCTGGGGCAGCCTCACCCTGAGCACTGTGTGCAGTTTTGGGTGCCACAATACAAGAAAGATATTAAGTTATTAAAGAGCATCCAAAAGAGGTAACAAAGATGGTGAAGGGCCATGAGGGGAAGCCACATGAGGAGCAGCTGAGGTCACTTGGTCTGTTCAGACTGGAGAAGAGGAGACTGAGGGGAGACCTCATCACTGCATACAACTTCTTCACGAGGGGCAGTGCAGGGGCAGCACTGACCTCTTCTCTCTGGCAACCAGTGACAGGACCCAAGGGAATGGCCTGAAGTTGTGTCAGGGGAGGTTTAGGCTGGATATTAGGAAAAGGTTCTTCCCCCAGAGGGTGTCTGGGCACTGGAACAGCTTCCTGGGGCAGTGGTAACAGCCCCAAGGCTGGCAGAGCTCAGGAGGCATTTGGCCAATGCTCTCAGGCCCAGGGTGTGATTCTCAGGGATGTCCTATGTGGGGCCAGGAGTTGGACTAGATGATCCTCAAATGTCCCTTCCAATTCTGATTATTCTCTGATTCTGTGATCTGTGAGATCAGCCTCCTTTTATTCCTGTTTAAGGTAATGGTTATCTCTGGTATTGGTAGCCTGAATTATCTTTGCAAACACTCGTGATTCCTGACTACTGAACATTATATACAGTGGGAAATAATTAGTAATGAATCTATAAATGTGATACAAGAAATTAAGATGCTATGAGATGCTTTAAAAATCCCTAATATGGCAACATTTACTATAAGATGATGAAATATGGAATCTGTGGCATTGTAAATTGAAGTTTTGTCCTCAGGATTTTCTCTACTTTTCAAAAGATTTTGAATGCTGCCACATTTCCAAATTCTTTAAATTGTCCAAGTGAGTATTTTTTACTGGAATCTCTCATTTCCCTCATGTCTCTAACGTGCTAATCCTCTCCTCTTGAAATACATTTTCCAGGAGCAACCTTTAAATTATTTCTTTATATATGTTCAATATCGGTGAGTCTAAAACTTCACCATTCGTTTTATTGAACTCAGAGTATGTGCAATGCTGATTATGTCATTTCACTTGGTGTAAGTAAAATGAAGTATTTTTACTATTTCCATTCCATTCCATTGATGAATTACAAGAGGATTGGTATGTAACACCTGACTATGATGTAGCTTAAGAAATGTTTAACTCTGCACTCACCATTTTTCTCCTCTTTGAACCTCCACAGATTGCTCTGAGCTACACAGCAGCGTGCCCAGTGCTGCTGAAGCTGATGGCTACATCACCTCCTGCAGTCAGTTTAAATGCAGGGAGATGCATCCTACAGATCGATGGCTGGATAGAAGTGTTTGCTGTTCTGCCAAATTCAACCACCCAGTCCATCTTTACAGGGAATCTCGTAAGTAAAATGAGCTCGAAGATAACATTCAGTGCTGGGGCTGAACAAATTTCACAGTAATCTTCCAGGTCCTTTGAAAATCATAGAATTTTAGGGGTTGGAATGGACCTTATAGATCATTCAGGCCCAACCCCCTGCCCTGGGCAGGGACATCTCCCACCAGAGCAGGTTGCTCAAGGCTTTATCCAACCTGGCTGTGAACACTGCCAGGGTTGGGGCAGCCACAGCCTCCCTGGGCAACCTGTGCCAGTGTCTCACCACCCTCACAGGAAAGAGCTTTTCACCTAAAATCATAGACATTAGCATAAAATAGCATGTACCTGCCACAGACATGCATATTGTTGTGCTGCATTTCACACACTGCAGAATGTAGTAGATTTAATAGGCAGGTGCAGAGAGCTACTTATGAAAGCTCTTTTTTGCCATGTGGGAGGTTTAGTGATTATTCAAGAATGAACTGTAAGCTATAAAAATGTGATTCTTGATGCCCAGTCTTGCCAACCTGTTTGTTATAAAACAGTTCAGTGTGTCCCCAGACATCTCCTCACTAGGTTAAAAGTAAACCAATTATGTCAGCTGTGGTAAGACTTAAATGATAAGGAGGCAATCAGGGCAGTGTTATCACTTCGCTCACACAATCTGAAAGCAGCAGATTCACAAATGATTTCACTATCTACATTTATTGCCCACCTAAAAAGTTTAGACATTGTGTTTCCTATCACAAAAGCAATTGTATTTTGCCTGTATCTAAGACAGTATCTCTCTGTGTGTACTGTCACAGAAGACTGTTTTGTTTTTCTCCCTGCAGACAGCCACTACCAGAGCCAATTTGACAATAACCAAGCAGAAGTTGATTATCTCATTACTTCTGAAGAGGTAACCAAGAAAAATTCAGAGAGCAACATTAATTATCCCAACATTAGGACACGACAGAACTCATTGTGTCAGCCTGACAGTGCTTGTTTCACCATGAGAAAAAGAGCTTAGTTATCTTCTTTCTCACAGGAACTCTAAGATATTTTTGACTGGTTGATCTAAATCTTGCAGATGAAATATAATGAGATTGTGGAACAACCATGTCTCTTGTGTAATGTGATACTACTCCTTTCTGTAGGTTAAATACCTTTCCAGGAGACAATGTTCAATTTATTGGCTATCTTAAAGGCATCTGTTTCAGTCTGTACTGATGTTGGAGAATGAAGTTCAGTAGTTTATTCAAACCCTTCTAAATCTTGCTGCCATGCCAAGTCTGAGCATCATAACCAGAAGTACTGGAAGGCAAACCCTACACAGGAGCACTGCCACTAGCTTTCCACATGCCTTCACATAAGGGGAAGGAAGAACTGAGACCACTGCAGCAGCAGACCCCATGCCATCAAACAAATGAGACTAGAAAGGTGTCTATAGTTGGAATCAAAGCTCAGAGACTTTTAGATTTTGCTTAGATCTCGCTGGTTTTGTGGTTACCTGCAGTTATAGTTGTTCTCAGCTGTCTCAGAACAGATTTTATCCACACTTGGAGCTAGGCTGGATTTACAACCCCTTTCTCCATAAATGCACCAGGTGGGTAGACTTCCAGACAGGTAGCCCACATCAGTGTTTCTTCTGGGTAGCTCTATACTCCAAGCTGGTCCAGAATTCCAGAATATATGTTATTTTTTAATCTATTACAGCTTCACAAAAAAAACATGTGAGCAGCCTTTTCTTAGTTTTGGTCACTGGACCTTTTAAACAGGAGAAGAGGACTTGAGAATGATCAGAGCCTGTCAGGATAAGCTTAAGGAGTAATAATGCCATTCACTTAAAGCTTTTAACACAAGAACGTGTTCTTCTGTTCTTCAAAATGTTGTTTTTCCCAGGATTGTATTTACAGTGACCTGAGGATGCACTACAGGCATCAGTGGAATAAGTTAGGAAACCATAATGGTTAGGGATGGGTATGAGTTTATTCCAATCATAAGGAACATTTGAGGAATGTGTAGTTCAGCCATTGCAGGAAATAGCAATTCCAGGAAAAATTGATTTCCCAAATCTGATAGTCACAGATCAGAACTACACATGACTGTAGGAGATTAGTACCAGAAAGATCCCCGTGATTCTATAACTCACTTGTAGTTGTGCCAGTTTTAATTAAAAGCAGTTGGGAATCAAAGAGTCTTTGGCAAAGTGAAATATGTGAATCAGCATGAAATCAATATGAATTTCCACAAATGAATCTTCAAGTAGTGTGCACAGCTTGTGCCTTCAGCCTCTCTAGTAAATCCTTTTCTTTTACTTTTCTTCAGGTTCCAGTTCTCCCTACTGCACTCCAGTCTTGGCTTCCATGGGGTAAGTTCATGGTTTCAGTGCCTATCAAAGGTAGCTGAGCCCTTCAGAGCTAAAAGAAATTCTTCTGAACTTGTTGCTGAACAATTACTGCTCTGTCTTGGGGATATCATCTGCCACTGTTCTCTCTACTTTGAAATGGTATATTCTCCACTTTTTTCTTTTTTTTTTCCAATGAGAAGAAATACCTCTTGGAGGTTTTTTTCTCATCAGAGGCTCCAAATGTTATGGAGTTATTGCCATGTAACATGAATTGCACCAAAGAGAAATGTCAGCCTGGGTTGAGGCAAAATTCACAGCTGGATTGAGTAGGTATAGCAGTTGGAGTGGGGTCAGGCTTAAACTCTGTCTCAGGAATTGTCTTGTATCACTTCAATCAAGTATTCTAAAAGAAGGAGTAAAAAATAGTGAATAAAAGCGACACAATGCCACTACTTAGATCATTCACTGCAGACTGAGAAATGATCAGTGAGACTCTGCAGCAGCTCAGCCCGACCTACATCTTTAAGTGAGGGGAGGAAGACACTGATCAGGGTGGTGTAAGACAGAGCACCAGGCCAGGGCAGGTCTTGCCACCCAGAGAAGAGTTCACTTCTGGGAACTGAGTCATGCCAGATGAAATGAGCTTGAACATATCTCATTCCTAAAGCTAAGGTTCAACCCAGGTACTGAGCATACAGAAAAAAACCCAAATGCCTTCAATTTGCAAGAAAAATGGACACCTCCTTGCCATGTAGATTTTACGTTGTTCAGCTGCAACTTAAACCAAAAAATATCTCTTTGCCTGAGATTTTCTCTGCCAAGTTCTGCTCTGATCTTTTTGCGTGTCACTTCAGTCCTAACCCTCTGTCTTCATCAAGCTGCAACCCCATAGGCCTCAGGCAGTAATCACCAAATGTGCTTTTCCCCTCACAGCAGAAGTCACTGGAGAAGAGTTTTTTGTCTTACGCTTTACGGAGTGTAGTGATCCCAGTAATCAATGGTAAGGTTTGTGGCCAGTTCCTGAGCACAGCTACTGAGAAAGCAAATCTGAAAGCAGAAAAGGGAGTCCCCAGCTTTAAAGACTGTCATGGGAGGTTTTTTGCCCATTTGATGACACCTGGACGGGTTTACTCTGTGCTGGACTTTGATCCTGGTCATTTAGACATGTGGATCAGAGGCTGTGACAGAACAAGTGTAGACTCCCTTTCAAACACTGGGTTGGGGTTTCATTTTCACAGAGTGTAGTGTGACAGTAGAGCTGAGACATGATTGAGTCTTTTCCTCACACAGTGTCATGACCAGAGAATGGCCCAAACTGAGGAAGAGCAGAAGCACACTTGCATCTTTGGGTTTTGGGGGAACACCTCTAACTTTATCATCTTGGCCACCTGAGCACATTGCCAAGAAGGCCAATGGCATCCTGGCCTGGATCAGGAACAGCGTGGTCAGCACGACCAGGGAAGTGATTCTTCCCCTGGATTCGGTGCTGGTGAGGCCACATCTTGAGTACTGTGTTCAATTCTGGGCCCCTCAGCTCAGGAGGGATATTGAAGTGCTGGTGCAGGTCCAGAGAAAAGCAATGAGGCTGGTGAAGGGACTTGAGCACAAGTGCCATGAGGAGAGGCTGAGGGAGCTGGGGCTGTTTAGCCTGGAGAAGAAGAGGCTCAGGGAGGACCTTATCACCCTCTACAACTCCCTGAAAGGAGGTTGGAGTCAGGTGGGGGTTGGTCTCTTCTCCCAGGCAACCAGCAGGAGGACAAGAGGACACAGACTCAAGCTCTGCCAGGGGAGGTTTAGGTTGGATACTAGGAAGAGATTTTTTTATGGAGAGAGTAATCAGGCATTGGAATGGGCTGCCCAGGGAGGTGGTGGATTCACTGTCCCTGGAGGTTTTCAAGATGAGACTGGATGTGGCACTTAGTGCCATGGTCTAGTAATGATGGTAGGGTTGGACTTGATGATCTTGGAGGTCTTTTCCAACCTGGTTGATTCTATGATAGATGAGAATAAGAGGAACTGACAGGATTAGAGGATCAAGTAGAGAGGAAAATGAAAGGAAGGTGGAGAGTAAGTAAGAGTGGGAAACAGCAGAAACCAGATCTTGAGAGGGAAATACCTGGAGAGGAGCAAAGGCAGTGAGATCTATGTTAGAGAGATGAGACATTGTAAGAGGTTTATATGCAAATTTTTCACAGGGTTTTTTGCTTTTTAGTACATATGATTAACAGCTGCCTTGAGAGGCACAATAATGGCTACATAAAGGAAAATTGTAAATAAATTGTAAATAATTGAGAAAGATGCTCCTGAAATGCATTTTATTATTACATTCACATTTATTTGGTTTTATCCTTTCCAAAGATAAACTAGGAAAAGGATTTCCTCTTCTTATCCTGGCCCATACTACCCTGACTGGACCTGTAATAAAAATGAATCAGGTGAGAAGACAAATTGCTTCTTATAGATTATATTCTTATAGAATATTCCTTCTGTTTCAGGCCTGTGCATTTGTGTGTGTTCCTGCGCTGGGCAGATCCCAGTGTTATCCCTAGACATAAATTATAAAATCCAAACTCTGGATCCAAAATGAGCCTCCCATCCCTAGCAGGTGCAGGCTGTGAAGGGTCCACTAGCCCTTTGCACTGTGCCAGCATGGGGACACAACAAGGACAGCACTGCTAGCCCCAGCAGGGCTT